AAGAAGGGGGGCCCACCGCTCCCCCCCGCGCCGCCGGGTTCCGGGACCGGGGTCGCTCGCTCGCCCGCTCCGCGCCGCTCCGCTCCGTCCCGCGCGCGCCTCGCCGCAAGTCCAGGGGCTTTTGAACTGCAGCTTTCGCGAAGCAGCAGGCGGCCGCGGCAGCCCGGGCACTCGGGGGGCGGAGCTCGCCTCTCTCACTGCCTCTCCAAAGCGTCTCGGAGAAAAGCCGCCGGAAAATCAGGTCTCTCTCCTCGCCGGGCTCCAACGCTGGCTCGGAGGCGTTCAGCCTCCCGTCCCTCACCCTCACCCTCGCCCCGACCGCTTGGATAATGAGCGTGGGGCGCACACGCACTCTAATGACGGGTGGTGCGTGGAGGGCCTGCCCCATCTGGCGAAGGGGAAGAGAGACACTTGTTATGTATACGCGCGCAGCCCGTTTCTGGGCGTGTTTCCAGGGAGTGAAGCCCCACTGGCGTAGTTTGCTCCCAGGTAAGCGGGCGGGTGGGCGTCACGGGCGGCGGGGTTTTGCGCGGACGGCCTGGAGCGGAGCGCTGAGCGAGCGGCGATGTCCACGCTGGGTTTGATTCTGCAGGGCGGGAAGGTGATGTTTTGGATGGCGAGAACTCGGCTGTTGTGCTAAGACGCTAAACTGTGTCCAGATAGATAGATAAATAGGAATGAATCCTTCCTTTCCATCTGCTGAACCGCATAAGTGTGTCCTTTTGAAAGCTGCACTTCTATTCCCTTTTTTCATTTGTTTTTTATTCCTTTTCTTTCTAGTTATTTCTTTCAGTTAAAAGCTTCAGATAAATTGTATTAGCCAGGTAAGAATGAATTCAAATGTATAGGTTAGAAATTAATACGTCAACTTCTCTTTAAAGAAAAAAATATGTATATTGAGCTATTAAACTCAAATGCTTTTATAATTAGACGTGTGTGAGGTGTTTTTTTTTTCATCCTTATATGTTATAACTTTGCTTCAATGGGTGCCAGGTATAGGAGCTATTTGCCAAAGAGATTTAGGTGACAGATTAATTTTATTCAAAAGCAGTTTATCATGCAGTCACATTATTCCTTAGCAGTAAGCTGAAGATGGGAGTTCATTTTATTTCCTCAATATATACGAATGCTTCACTTGCAGTTGTGACTCTGGGAATCTAACATTGAGTTAAAAAGTAGTAAACAAAAAAAAACCATTATTTTTTTTTTAAGTAACATCCAAGGCTAACCACAATCATTCTCTTCACCTTTTCAGAATAAGCTCATCAACGCCCCCAGCCCACCCCCACCCCAATACCCAGGGAAAAAGAGAGGTTTTCAGAGCCTTGCAAAAGGCCAGAAGGATCAGGACCATCTGCACCTCAGGACATCTGCTGTTGTGTAGGACAGGTCTTGCAGCAGAGAAGGCACACCTCCTGGGTCCCATCAGATGGCATTGTTTCATAGAAGGGACCCAACGCATGCCCATCCTGTTGACTCTGGTGGAAAGATCAGAGATAATTGGAGAGAGGCAGCCCTGTGAATAACCCAGCCCTCTGCCATGAAGCACTTTATAGGTGGTAACAAGCAATTGTAGCTTCTAGGTGGTCTTCAACTGCAGCCCCATGTAGAGTGTATTGCAGTAGTCTGAATGGGCATGAGTGACTGTGAGCAGGACCTCCTAATCCAGGAATAGAGCAATAAGCCCACAAGATGGATTTGTGCAAAGCCCCTCAGATCTCCCATCTGCTCTCCATGCAAGAGTCAAGGGTCCAGGAGTATCCCCATATTGTACACCAGTTCATTTGGGAGAGTGCTACCCCATCCAGAACTAACAATGAATGGTTCCCAGACTGGGGAGGTGGGAGGGGGGATATACCTAAACACCCAGCCACTTGGTCTTGCTACAGTTCAGCTAAAGCCCATTCTTCCCCATCCAGAGCCTCAGACTGGGAAAGAACCTTAACAACATCATCAGGGGTTGAGATATATCACTTCATATTATCTATACACTTAGCTCCATGCCAATGGATTATTCAACATGTAGCTGTTGAGTAAAAATGGAAGAGAATAGAGCCTGTGAGGCACCCTGGAAGCTTAGGTCTAGATCTCTTGCTTCTGAACAGTAACTGGAGGGAGGAGAAGCGCTACAACACTGGGCCTACCCTCTCAATACCTAAGCTGGTCTGGAAGGCTATCATAACTAATGATATTGAAGACTACTAAGGGATCAAGGAAGGCTAGGATGGATGCCACCTGAGGTCATCTACATGTGTGATCAATGCCGTCTCAGGTGACCTGACTGAAAACACCTTCCCGACAACTTTCCCTAACAAGAGAAGGTTGAAGACCGGATGAAAACTATCCAGCACTGTCCATTGAATCCACTGATGGTTTCTTAAGGAGGGAATTGAAGAAAGTAAGGAAGATGACCTTGATGGAAATGTCCAAGAACCGTTACCTGGGCAAAGGGGGCTGAAACATTCCTTAAGCCCTGGGAAAAAAGATTATAGTTGGAAGCAGCTCAGGCAGACACCACCTTAATTCTCTGTGGTATAAGAAGTGGGAGGAGATATAGCACAATCAGGCTTGCAAAATTCTATGATTGTACCCAGTCTCAATAAAAGTAGTTCTAATCTTCCTGTGGAGTTGATTTCCTGGGCTGGTCTACCTACTGGAGCTAACTTTAATCTTGCAAGTCTCTTACATTCTTTCAAGAGAGGCTGAAGATCTCACCTTTGTTTGCAGAGATGGCACCTGGTCCTCAGGGCACCCCACTGTCCGCTGAACACCTTGCGGCAGTGTTGTTGCAACACCAACAACAGATAAATAACTTGCAAAATGCCATGATGCAACTAACCCAATAGCTGGGAGAGAATTAACCTCAGTCAGCAGCAGCATAGCAGCCTGCAGCACAGCCAGTATTTCTGCGTTCTCATGGGAGTTTACCAGCGAAATTTGGAGGAGACCAGGACCAATTCCCAACCTTCACATCTCAGTGTGTGAACTGTTTATGGGGTTGGCCAGCAGGTTTTTTCCCAGATCACACCAAAGTGACTCATGCTCAGTTTGCTGAAAGAAGAGGCAGCCAGATGAGCCATGCCTATCACTGGGGGCAATGACCCTGTGCTGGACAATTATCCAAATTTCATGCAAAGATTTAGATGTTCCTTTGACAATGCCATAAACTGAGTGATCACCATGAAATTTGCAATCTCAGGCAAGGTCAGCGTAGAGTGCAGGCAACATAACAGATTTTAAATTATTTGCCAGAGATGTGGGATGGAATGATTTGGCTCTGATTGACCAATTTAGAGAAGGGCTTGCTGACAAACCGAGAGATGAACTGGTGAGACAAGGCACCCCAGATAATTTGGAAGAGCTGTTCCAATGTTGTATAATAATAGATGGCTGACTGGAAGAGTTGATGCAAAGGAGAAATGGCAAGGTTTTACATCCTCCCTTCTCCCATAACCCCTCTCCCAATGGCCTCCTTGGAATCCACAGCCAGAGAACCCATGAAAATTGGATTAGTCAAAAGATGTCTATCACCAGGACAGACATAGAGAAGAAGGGATCTAGGCTTATGGTTTTACTGCGAAGCTGTCAGGCATATAGCCAGATCCTGCACAGCTAAATTCAAGCCTCTGACTCATCTACGAAATGCCGCACCTGTGGATTTACAGGTCACGTAGCTAGCAAGTAACTAGCAAATACCCAACTCACTTCAAGGGTGCAGCATTGGAGAAACTTCACAGGCCCCTCTCCCAAGAGCAACAAAAGACAATTAGAGCGCTTGGGAGACAGTTAAGGAGAGTTCAGATGGCCAACAGCAGACAAGCACACTTTATTGTTCCTGTTATTCTTTGTTTAGATCAGTGTTTCTCAACCTTGGTAACTTTAAGATGGGTGGACTTCAACTCCCAGAATTCCCTAGCCAGCCATGCTGGCTAGGGA